GCACAAGTTCATGTTTCCATCATCCCCGCCTCCTTGACAACAACCTTGATGATGAATGGATGATGGGTATAGATGATTGAATTTGGGATTGAGAAGGAGTTACTTGGGGATTTGGAGAAGATTAGAACAGGATTAGGGATTGGAAAGGAGACTGGGATAATCTAACGATACTTTGATAATTTGTTTATCGATTTATTCTAATGAAATAGGTTAATGAAAATATATAAACGCTAACTCGAAACCCTAATTGGCCCACTCGACTAAACTTACTAAAATACCCTTAACTACTACTCGTGCCTCCATCACTTGACCTCAATGTTGGGCTTCCGATCAGTGGTACTCCCGCTTGAAATCGGCCATCTCCTTGCATTCAGCCGCCTCCTCCTCTACTCCGTCCTCCAATGACCTATGAGCATAATCAAATCCGCCTTCGCACACTGGTGACCGAACGTGAACCGCTCGTTACAGTTGATGCACTTGCCTTCCCTCCTTTTGTGATCAATCTCTGTCAGAGACAACCTGGCGAATCCTGTGGCAGAGCCCGTGGTCCTACTCGAGCCACTGTCGGTGTCGCCGGTGTCACTGTTCCTGTACCAGCGCTTGCACCGGTTGGTGCCCCACTGGCCGTCCCAGCGTGGCTGCTTCCTCCACCAGCAGCGTGGCTGCTTACTCTACCGCTGGGCATCTGGTATCAACCAATGGTGTTCCTCCAGCTGGCTATCTCCTCCTCCTTGTGACCTGAAAGAAGAAAAGCAGCCTTCAAGGATTCAGGCTCTAAGACCTTGACTGCGGATGCAATCTCCGGCTTGAGCCCCGCCATGCATAGTCCCACCAGCATCTCTTCGGGCACCCCTTTGCACTAGTTGCCCAACTTGAAGAACTCCACCATGTACTCTGCCACCATTCATGTCTGTCGGAGCTTGGCCAACTGCTCTGGGGCCCATCCTTATGACTTACCAAACTAATATCGAAGTTCCTCTTGGAACCTCGGCCAGGTGATCAAGGTTTCCTACTGCGCATAGGACCTCTCCAACCATTCTCACCACTGCAGAGCATCCCCTTCCAAAAAGAAAGATGCTAGATGCGCCTTGCGCTCTTCCTTAGTGGGATGGTTCCGGAACCACCTGTCATTTGTATACAACCATAATCCTGCATCCTCCTAGCCATTGAATTTTGGAAACTCAATGGTAGGTGGTTTAGCCCTGAACACAAGCTCATCATCACCCTCATTACCACTATAGTATCCACCATACCTGCGCATGCTCGAAGGTCCCCCATGATAGCTATGGGAAAACTGTCGCCCACACCCATACCTCAAAGCCTCCTCTCCGTCATCACGGTACTCTGCATATCCCTCCGATCTTTTCTGCGATTCCCGCCCTACATCCCAAGCTCTGCAAATGGACGTCCCGTCTCTCGAATCCCCTTTAAACCCTTTAAACCCCACAGCTCGTCGCACCCCTACTGCCTACGGGAATCAGCTGCTGTTCGGGTCGATTAGGACTAGACCTGGTCTAACCGGTTCCAGCTTCGATCCATCTTCCTCCCTCTGGTGTGTCTTGTTTCCCCTTGTCGGTGAGGTTTGTAGCGTTCTGTTTGTGGTGTGTGTTTTCGATTGGAGTGGTAGTGTCTCGATTGGTAATGGTATTTTAGGTTTTCTAGGTATTGGTGCTTTGGGTACCTGTATTAAGTGATATGATTCTGGATCGTGGCCCAAAACCATTCCATTGATATTCAAAGAAGAAACCAAGTCAAGAGAAGAAGCTGTAAATTTGGGTAGTTCTGGGAAATAGTTTGTGGTACCTACTTTAGGAGCTTACTCGTTTTGTTTGGGAGACATTCGTGGGAAGCTAGGTGTTGGCAATGAGATTACAAGTCTTGTTAAAGATCATGAAGGCATTGGATGAGAAGATTGAAACTTCCTGGATACCAAACGAGTAGCCTAAAGATCATATGGTGATCAGGAAAAATATCCTATCAGGTGGGTTAAAATCCGTTATAGGGGATCTGAGATTCGAGATAGGGTAAGTGGGTCAGAAGGACCCCGGTCAGGAAGGTAAAAATACTCGATAGGGTATTTAGGTGTTGCTTGTGGGATTTGGATGATGTATTTGACACCCAAATAGAAAGCATTACGTATTTGATATAAAAATAATATTTGTTGAGGTATACAAATACGTGGGACCCCACGGATTTGGATACCACATTTCTTTTGGTATTTGGTCATTGAAGGCAAGGAATTGAGACCCATTATACAAAAATCTTTAAATCCATGATCAAAATCAACTAACAAACAATGTTATCTTTCAAATACAAAATGAAACAAATCAATCATAAATCCAAAGGTTTTCAAAACTAAAAACCTTCATTTTCAAATCTAACAAGCAAACGAGCCCTTAATGGTGCCGATATGGTATTTTGGGCTGATGAGTTTTAGTAACTTTTTTGTTTATGATTCTTTTTCCTTTTCTGTACTTTCATTAGTTTAATTTTCTAGACCTATTTAAAGGGTTGTAAACTTTGTTTTGAGGAGATTGATGTTGAATAGAAAAAAAAAACCTTTTCGATTCATAGAGTTTTTACTCTTGAATTTTGTCCTTGTTTGTTGGCGGATCTCCAACATTCGAGCGAGTTTTGTATCAATCGAGTATCCACCTTGATTGTGGTCGAGTTGCTACCCCTATATTGTTCGAGTCGTCTCCCAATTTCATGTTAAGATTGCACGACAATTTCCGCCCCAATGCAGTCAAAATCGCGCATTAAAACTTAAAAACGTATTATTTTACGCTTTTAGGTCACCAAAATGCTTTCGTTTCCATATATAAACTTAAGTGTATAAAATCATACTAAATTGCACTTTAAGGCATAAAAGCTTACGCTTTTACGCTTCTAGTTCACCAAACCGCTTTACGTTTTTACGCTTTTAGTTCACTAAATGAGTATTCTTTTCGTGAAATTAATTATAAAAAGTATATTTTAAAAATAAATAACCAACAAAACGATACATTTGAGATTAAAAGATACATAACAGGTAATTTGATGCATTCTCAACTTCAATAGAGTAATCTAATTCACCAGCTAAACTCTTTCCAAATTCATTAGCATAGAGGGAAAATTGGCTTATTGTTAAAATTTATGTTTACGAACTTATTATGAAGATTCTATAAGTTGCTCTACTTTAGGCATGAATTGCATGTATTTATTAACTTATCTAAATTCAGTGCATTCATATTTTACATAGTATATGTCCTACTTAATAGATTTTTAGTTATTTTTCAGTATGCGTAAAAAACTTACGCTTTTACACTTTACGATTTTACCCCTTTTCCGCTTCTAGGTTGAATCGCGCTTTTGACTGCATTGTTCCGCCCTATCCTTTACTCTTCAAGTTGTTGAGAGAAAATATCAGAAAACCCTATAAAGCTTATGATTGCGCAACTTTGATCAAAAGAACCTAAACTTTCACGAGTTTGGGATTCTTATCATTAAGGGTTCTCCGTTCCTTGAGTCCCACTCCAACAATCCAAATTGAGGTTTTACTGGAAGTAAAGTGTCTACCAAATACCAATACATTGCATTGTTTACAAATGTTCTTGTGTAGTCTATGAACTGGTAGTTGTATTGGTAGTCATTAATGCTTGTTTGTTATACTAGTGGTTCAATTGCAGTGTTAGTACTAATATTTGAGTTTCTACCAGTTAGTTGTGTTGGTGCAACTGTCAATCCCTACCAGTTACTTTGTACCAGTCGGCCTAACATTAGTAGTAACATTGATATTGTCACCATTTTCGGTTTGTTTACACTAGTAGTGATATTGGTCAATAAAATTATTTACAAGTGCGTTTTATTTATGTTTTAAGTTTAACTTTTCCTCTGACATTTTATAATATTTTTTCGGCTAGTACTTTATAACTTTCTTTCTAGTAGTAATTTATAACTTTGGTTGAACTGCCTTATTTTTTGGTTGCAGGCATGGCGATGACAAAGGAAGCTTCATCTTCAAGAGTTAACCGTTAAAGCTGTCGAAATGCATGGCACATTCCTCTACTGTCTACCCAATTGACACAAATGTCCTAGCTACACAACAATAGATGACTCTGGAGTTTTAGTATTATGACAACAAATTGGACAATTTTGTTGTTTGGCATGTTTGTTCTGTTTCATGTTACATTGAATTTCAGGCGTTTCAACATTTTGTGAAAACAAATTTTTGGCCAGTCAGTGGTGCTACCACGTGCGGGTCTCATTCGGCGGGCGGGTGGTGCTCCTCAACTCTTCTAGGGAAGTTATTTTGGCCAAGGGGGTGCAGTTCCTTGTGATTGATGATGCTATGGTTGTGGAATTGTTGGTGCTCCGAGAGGCATTGCTATGGTGTATGAACCTGGGGCTCACGGATATTGCTTTTGAGGGTGACGCCAAAGTAATCATTGACAAGATCAACCGTGCAGACACCAGGGATAATCGGATGGGTGCAGTTCTGGAAGAAGTTGTTCATTATTTTACCACTCGATTTGATTGTAATATTCGATTTGTGGTTCGTGATAGCAATAGGGTAGCCCACTTGGTGGCTAGAAAGGCCCTGTCTTTGTGTCCGACTATGAATAGGGGCTTTGATTATCAGACCTGGCTGAATTCCAGGATGTAACTTGTTTTTGTGAATCAATACACGATTATCTTTTGTCAAAAAAAAAAAAAAGTGGAATTGGCTAAATTATACGTTTGGTCACTCGAATTATACAAATCTTTCACAATTGCCGCCCGAATTACTTTTCTTTCTTATTCACCACTAACTTTACGAATCGTTTCACCGTTAGTCACCGGCCTTTACACTCCGTTAAATTTGTCCTACGTGGTAGTCAACTATAAAGCTTGACCGTTAACTAGATGACGTGGAATTTAATATATATATATATATATATTAATTAATTTATTTGTCCACCTAATTATTTCATTTACTTTGTGTATATGATTTATCATATTACTTATTTAATAAAAAATAATTAAATTATAAAAATAAATAATATGATTGATGTCCCTCCAAATAGTAGACTTAAATGACAACCGGTGCAATTAACCCTCCAAATGATGTCGTGCTGCCTGCCGACGTCGGCGGCGGCGACCACCACTTCATTCCAGATCGGAGTGAAGGCCCGAACGATGACGGCATGGTAACAAGGGGAATTTGCTCCGGCTGTAAATCCCCATCTCCACCACCATCTAAGTCGTCGAATCCCTAAAATGGAAAGGAGCTTGTAGACCTGCTTGTTCGACAGCGTTTCCCCTCTCAGTCGGGGGCCGTACCAGACGTTGTTGGCGATCGTGCCTTGGAACAGCGTCGGGAGCTGGAACAGCATCGCGACTTTCTGGCGGAGGGACACGACGTCGATTTCGCTGATGTCGAGGCCGTCGAGGAACACGGTGCCTCGCGTTGGCTCCCAAAGGCGGTTTAAGAATCTGAGAAGTGTCGATATCCCGCTTCCGCTGGGTCCTATGATTCTGATGATTTGGGATCTGGGGATTTTCATCTCCACCCAGCGCAAGATCGGGACGCCGCCATCGGCGGCGTCGGTGAACTTGGTTAAGTTGTTGTTCAGAATTTAGCTCCGGCGGTGGTGGGGGGATCGTGGTTGCCGGATTCCACGTCGGCGCGCATTAATTGCTCGTGAATCCCAATTATATCTGAAATGAAAGGGGGCAGGGGATGAAGATAGGGGAGAATAAGATGAAGAAGAATAAGTCGGATTCCACGTCGGCGCGCATCAATTGCTCTGCTGGTGAATGTTGATCGATTAATTGTGGAGTGATTGATGGATGATATATGGTCAAGGTGGAGAAGAAGAAGAAGAAGCCTCCCTCGGTAATGGGCATTTTCGATCTGGATTTTAGGGATTCGATGACGCAGATGGTGGTGGAGAAGGGGATTTACAGCCGGAGCGGGCTGGCAGATCAGCTGAAGCGATTCCTGGAGCTCAATTCCCCCTGCTACGACGTCGTCATCGTTCGGGCCTTCACTCCGATCAGGAATGAAGTGGTGGTCGCCGCCGCCGACGTCGACCGGCAGCACAGCATCAATCATATTATTTATTTTTATAATTTAATTAATTTTTATTAAATAAGTAATATGATAAATAAGTGGAATAATGAGGTGGACAAATAAATTAATATATATATATATATTTTTAATTTCCACGTCATCTAGTTAACGGTCAAACTTTATAGTTGACTGCCATGTAGGACATATTTAACGAAGTGTAACGGCCGGTGACTAACGGTGAAACGATTCGTAAAGTTAGTGGTGAATAAGAAAGAAAAGTAATTCGGGTGGCAAACGTGAAAGATTTGTGTAATTCGAGTGACCAAATGTGTAATTTAGCCCAGTGGAATTATGTACTGACATTTGGAACTGAAATACAACTGTGGAAAGAAATATTTACTAAGCATAGTTGTAGAAAGAAATAGTGGTACACATACCAGTCGAGTGATACAATGACCAAACCAGTTGTTCAAGTACCAATGCAGTTGTACGAGTACTAGTAACAAATCTTAGTGCAGTGGTATAAGTACCAGACTACTAGCATAGTGGTACTATTACGAGTGCATTGGTACAAGTAACAGTGCAATCAATAATTATTTTGCAGCAATGTAATTGGTTGCCTGAGGTTAAATCCTGAATGACATCATGGTCGCTAGGGGTGGGTTCTACTTCTACCTTCACGCGACAAGGGGCATTTTCCAGAGCATCTACGTTGAATACATCATCCTCTTGAATTGATACCCCAATTTCATTTAACAAGAAGATGCATTAGAAGTCACACTGGTATAATACTACCACTCGACACCCATAGTACTACCATTGAGAATCGACTTTCTATACACATATATTGGCAATGCTACCACTATAGTGGTATCATTATCGGCACCACTCGACTGCCATAATATTACCACTAGTTCACTTGTACCACTCAATTACCACCACAAAAGCATGAACTATCACTACCAATACCATAGCACCTCAAGTGGTAGCTTTACGGGCACCACTGAACAAACTCTATCAATGCAGTGAATTCGTGAAGTCATGAGTCAACCTTATCAAGATCGTTGACATCGCTGAGATTCTGAGTGCCATCGTCCTCTCCTTTGAGTTTCTCAACATTCACGATCGCTAAAAATCATTGTCCTTGTCGATATGCTCCATATCGTCGCTGTTATCCTTCTATGCCACATCGTCGAGATTGTCGTCGGTGTCCAGCTCCTCCACGTCGACCAACGGTACGTGATGTCCTTCATCATCTGTTCCACCCTGCAAATAGGATCGCCCCCCTTTTTCTATGCGAGGGTTTCCGGTGGGTTAAAGCGGGGGTTTTTATTCTCAAGGAAGAAGTAGCAAAAATGGGACGAATGAGAGGGAAGGCGAAGAGACATTTATGGTAAGAGTGAATACTAGGAATGACAATGGGGTAAGTCCGGGCGGGTTTCTTGGTACCCAGACCCGCCCCGTGGCAGGGCGGGTTCAGGTCGGGTAATTGATCACGGGTCAGAGCAGGTCGACCCAATGGGTATGCAATTTATATGAAAAACATTAGAAATATTCGTTATTTTTATTATAAAACTAAGAAAACAAAAAATATTATGACAATTGTAGTTAAATTATTGGAGAAATTGAGGTTTTCACTAATTTACAACTTTATTATAGCTAAAATATGATGCAATAAAAGGAAAATTCAAAGTAATTTGACTAAGTTTTCATGTAATTTAGACAAGAACGGGTTGAGAATGGGGCGGGTCAGGACAGGTCGAGTCGATGAGACTACCCATGCCTGCCCTGCCCCGCCTACGGGGCGGGTCGGACCCGCCCCAAAACAGGTCAAACAGATCGGGTAAAACGGGTCAGGTCAAAATTGCCATCCCTAGTGAATACAGCTCCTAGCAATCATACTCAAAATCCCTTCCTCGTGCATTCATATTTATTATTAATTTTTTTCTTTTTCCCAAAACACCCTTTTTGTGTAGACAGTCAGTAGGATTAGGAATGGGATCATGGACGCCAAGGAGCTGTGTAGTGAATATCATAATCCTTTAGGGATTGTGAGGGATCCGATCCCATGCTTACAGGTTGTTTAGTGATATCACTAAGCTTAGTAACCGAATCTTTTCTCTATTCTCATGGAGGGTGTATCAATAACTAACTAGTTGAGTGTAACACTCCGCCCTAAATCTCATTGGTTGAACCAGTGGTTCACCCGCACAACGGAATCTCTATCGAGGGTTACGCTAAAACTCAACTATTTACCATTGGTAACACATACTAACATCATTTTAAATTCCAACATCCACAATAATTAATTCCCGAATTACTCGTCATATACCAAAGATCAACTCGATCTTGTTCATTCATTTCATCTAAACCAAATCAGAGTGTCATTCACAACCATGCTCATTACGGCACCATCTACTATGCAATACCCAGATCATCAACTCATAAAACATAAATGAGAGTCATTTCAAAATCTGGGAAAACTTCAAAACCAATCCTCCATCGATCATTGTGCCTTGCCAGAGTTTCTCTCAATTCATTCAAACCTGTAAGAAACTGGACAGAAGTGGGTCAGCAACTAAGCTGTGTGTGTGGATCTTTCCCACGACCTAATTTTGGGACCGTAATCAGCTAATCAAACAGTCGTAATCAATCGTAATTTAGTACTCTAGATGCCATCTTAAATCATCATATATAGATTATCGATCAATATATCGAATCCACCAACTCATCATCACCAAATCAATTTATCCAATAAGATAATCACATAATTTCACGAACACATAATCAATGCATGATGTGAAAATTCCGGGGGGTCGGATACTATGCCTACCCCCTTTATGATTGGCGAATTTTATTTTCAGTCATTGGCAAGTATTAATTAAACTTGTTTTTTTATTTTTTTTTAATCTTGTAATTTTGGTTCTCTCAGACTCTCACCCACATTGGAAAGGGAAAGAATTTGGGGAACCAGGAAAAAGCACCCCCCAAATGTGCAATTAATTGTCATTTTTGTCTTTCTTTCGTCTCCTTCTCTCTCCATTTGGAACCCCTTTCCATTTTGATTTCATTTTCACCAGAAGCCTCCTATACTCTGAAATGACCAAAACCCTCCCCCATTTTCATCTTCCTCTTCCTCCCGCCGCCGCCATCACCCCTCTCCACCCTCTTCATCCACACCTTCCACTTGTGCCGCCTCCATCCCTACAACCGTCGTAGTCCTCCGGCGTCTTCCCCCATCACCATCCTCCTATCTCCAGCCGCCGCTGTCCTGGGATCACCTCTGACCTACCGAGTGGGTTGCTCGCCGTTGGAGGACAAGACGCAAGGTTATCGCCGGAGATCAAACAGATGAAGGCCACAGCGAGAGGGAAGATGGATCCAACATTTCGCGCGACGATTCTGGGCATGCCAAGAACGACGAATCTTGTGCGGCATCAAATGATGGGGGTGAAGACGTGATCGGACTCTCCTCCCGAACGAAGGAGGCACCAATGGACTGGTACATGTACCAGTGGAGTGGTACGTGTACTAGTGGAGTGGTACGTGTACCAGTGGAGTGGTACGTGTACCAGTGGAGTGATACTAGTAACCATATGTCCTGTTTAGGCTTAAAAAAAATTGTGAACACAGTTTTTGGCTATTAATGGAAAGTTCCTATTTTGTAGACTGATTGAAATGTTTCTTGTGTTTCTTGTGCCAGAATTATATTTCATGAGTAAGTATGAGTATTGGTATATTGAGGACAGTCTTAATTAGTACCAGTTCAGTGGTATAAGTACCAGTATAGTGGTATAAGTATCAGTTAATTGATATGCATACCAGTCTAGTGGTATAATACAAGTTCAGTAGTATATAGGTGCCACTGAAGTAGTATGATTACCGCTGAAGTTGTGCGAAAGACCATTTCTATTCCATTACTCGTTGGCAAAGATATTTCCATGAAATTGAAAGAAGTTAACCAATAATACGACAAAGAAAAATAATAAAATCAATTCCAAACTTCAAAAGCGGTGGAGACCACAATATTTCCATGACGATGTATTTCTTAGTTGACCCCTAGCTTATTGTTCCTTATACTGGCTCTCACGACGCCATTTTTTGTTGGTACCCGCACTCGAGGCAGGAGCTTGGCCTATCTCAACTTTTACCGTTTCCTCTTCGTCATGGCCATTCCTGAGGTCATTGGGTAGGAAGACAATAATCAGAAATATCATTGAAGTGATAGAAATACGAGAGCGAAAATAAGACAACTAGCCATAAACAACTAGCGATAAGTAAGACAACTACACAAAGAACGAAGTGGAATCAAAACTGTCATTCGAGTGGTACTTTTACTAGCCATAAACAACATTATATACCGCTTCGGTGAAAGACACACCTTCAATTAATTGGAAACAGAACTACCACTGAAAGTGGTAAAAATATTAGTCGCAATAAACATTTTATAGAAATATGACGACACTGCCGTGAATATGTACCACTGTTGTGGTACATATACCATTGTACTGATACATGTATCACTGAAGTGGTACATGTACCACTAGGCTGATACAAGTACCAGTGCAATTATTCAAGTCATACTTTTCTACTTGTACCATTAGCAAAATTGAAACTCA